GCCAGATAATGCTAAGAGTTAAACTGTAACAGGGAATACCCATGGAGCTTGACTGCAGAAGACACGGGTTCAAGAAGAACATTCTGAACCAACTGGAAAACAGAACACAGCTATTGTGGCCTATGCCAGTCAAGTATTCCTCAGAAAAAGTACTAGATGGAAAAAATCTGGATTTTCTTCAAGTGCACAAAGCAGACAGTGGTCAGATGCTATAATGTACTTTAAAATCAAATGAGATCCAAAGATTGAGTTCTAATACAAGAGATTGGTGACCACATTGAACTCAGCCTCCTCTGATTGAGTCAGAAACTGACTATTTAGATCAAAAGAAAGTTAAAGTATTTAGATCAAATAGAGTTGAAGTAACCTATTCACTCACTCAGATTTAGGAGATAAACTGATAATTACCAGCACTAGATCCAGTATTTTTTTGGTTACCCCAGAAGTTTGCAAACTTAAAGGGCAGTTTGTGGAATAAAGGCTTCTCAACCAAGTAACTCTGGCACATTAGTAGGCTAAGATGAAGTAGAAAAGTCTTGAGCTACTTGTTTTCTCCAGATACAAATCTGTAACCACAGCACAACAACTGTAATCCTTCTTAACTTTTTGCAAAGTAACCATAACCAAGGAGATAAATCTTCAACAAGGTAACTAATACAGATTTTATGAGCTAGGCATAAATCTACACAGATCTGCTAGTGACTCAGATCCTGGGAAAGAGGCAATGCTTCCTTCAGAATTATGAGCTTCAATCCAATACACCTGACAAAGAAGTGCTCCACCCAATTAATCTATATTAATATCAAGGTAAAAAAAATTTAAGATTTTGAGCAGTAGCTGAACTTTTTGTGAAGCAGCTGAAGTATGAGAAAACTATTAACATTTTACCAAAACCTTGACACTCAGCCCCTTTTAGCTAGTCTTTTAATAAGCCCTACCAGTATCTGTCCAGTCCATAACTCCACAAGGTGCAATGTCAAACTATCTACTTCCCTATGGAACAGACACATTCAAGTTCCAAATACAGACTATCATATTTAGTTTATGTCATTGCCAACATTTCAAACTCCATAACATGAAGTTAACTTCTACATGATTGCATATGCAGTCTGTTGTATTGAGTCAGTAGGTGAAATGAGGCAACAATAAGGCAACTGGATTTAAGTTTACTACAGAGCTACTAATCACCAATCATATGGTGTTTTCCAACTTAACAATTTCACTCTGTTTTAATACCTCCCATTTTCATTATCTCACAACCCCTATCACCAATAAATACAGACCTGTTCTCAAGTCCATCCCTAAGGTATGCATACAAAACCTATTCATCTTACTCGATTTCATTTAAATCAAATACAGACCTCCTATACTGCAGTCTGCAGACAAAAAAAAACCAAAACAAACAAAACCAAAACCACACCACCACCCCCAGAAACTGGAAAGAAAAAAAAATTGAACTAGCAGCATTATCTAATTAGGATTTAATAAAATTTAATCCTAATTATTGTAGCAGCATTATCTTTTGCACATAGGTATAGTTATCTGCCTGTTTTGTGTTAGTTTTTCTCTTAGAAGTAAATGCCTGCTTCCAAAGTTCAGAAAATCTTATCTTCATCAGATGGGGCACTTCATCCTCCACTAAGGGCAGAGAGAGAGAGACAGTCTGGTTTCATTTGTATGCTCCTCTAGCATATCTTTGCAGTGCTATTATACTCATCACTGAATAATGCTGCAGACTTAGGGCAAGATAATTTTGTTTTCTCTTGCCATAGCATAACTTCTTAAGGCTTACTTACTGTTTATCTTAAAGGTTATAAGATATCAAAAAAAAAACATGCAATGGTGTGGAAGAGGCACTTGCCTTAACTCCAAGCTTCAGTCTGCAGCACTGATCAGTGATGGGTGTGATGACACCAACAGAGTGCATGCTGAAGTATCACATAAAGGAAGCTGAAGTTCATGAACAAGAGGGAAAAATAAAACATTGTTAAAAAGTGAAAAGATGGTAGGGTGAAAAATATTCAGGAGCACGGAGAAGCTAAAGAAGAATACGCAGCTTAAACTTCTGTCTTTCTAAAAAACTCCTTGTTATATTTGGATTTCATTATCCTGAAAAGACACCCCAGTTCCTGTAACATGCATAAAAGTAAAAGGTTTTAACCCATGAATAGTACTAGCTTTGATCACTTACAGCTCCTCCACTAATACAGCAGTGCACGTAGACAATTTAAGAAAGCATTATGTGTTGTTTAAAGATAAAACCACCAAGTATCCAGTGATATACTAACTTTTCATTATTTGCCTCATTGTTTCTTTAAAAAATATATGTACCTGTGCTACACTGAAGATACTCTCTCCTTTCCATGTGCACCTGCAGTATTTCACTCGTTTGTAATTATTTCAGTGTAGACTGACTGTCCCACTGTAAAGGTCTTGCATCCTTTCTCACTTTGCAGACCAACAATGAGTCCTTTAAGCACTCCCAATGTAAACAAACTCTGAATAACTAAAATCTTGGCTGAATATTGTTTTCTATGTTTATTATCAGTTCATAAAAACGAGAGTATTAGTTAAAAATAAGAATTAGCTGAAAACATCATGAACCTGAAACATCCACACTTTGAGAATGCCATTACATGTGCCATTACATTGAGAGGGCACACAAGGTACTGACAGTCTATGTATTTATGGTACTAATCAAGGTTTGTTTAATAAACATTTAACACCAGCTTTGTTATCAACACTATTTCATACAGGGTTTGACATGCTGGAAGTACATAGTTACATAATTTTGACCTAACCTGAGGCCTAAGCCAGCAGAAAATAAGACAAAATAATCCTTACTTCAACAGTACATCTATCCTTTCTCAATTCTGGATAACGATACTCATTATTAAGCAGGATTTTACACCCACGTACTAATTAATCATGACAAAAATATCCCCAAGCCAAAACAAACAATTGAGGTGAAATGTGTCTTTTTGAGGGCTCATTATATGAATTTACACCAAAACCATACAACTCCCCTGTGATCTATGATAATATCAGACTCTAAACATCTGCCACTATAGCAAATACCAATACATGAACTAAATAGCTTCACAACTCTTCTCCTCAATTTGAGGAAAGTATGATACAGATGTCTCCCACTGTTTCACAATGTGCTTTCAGAAATAAGAGCATGGGAATATGGCTCCCATGGCTGACTTCATTTCACCGTATATCTGACAGATTTTAATTGCTTAGAATCTTTTGTCAAACTGAATTGAGTACTGGCAAGACCCAAATTTCACAAATTAAAATGCATCTCATTAATTCAAGTTTTATTTTATTTAAATAATCTTGAATTTACTTATCTTCAATATCATTTAGAGCTAGAAGCACTGTCATACTCTTTGTTTGAAATTGAGTCTTTATCTTTTAGGGAAGAGAGGATGGAAACACTTTTGCCACTAAATAAATATTTTAATACTCTTGCATATGAAAGTAAAGTATAGATTTCTGAAGTACACAAATATTCAAATTTTGTATAGCCTGTCAGATGGGGAGTGGGTTGGGGGGGAAATGTGAGAGACAAAGGGCAAACCAAACTCAGATTGTAAAGATTTCTGGAGTCACAAGTCACCTCTAAGTGACACTCAAACAAAAAAATTATTCCAGACTTAGAATAAGATTTTAAGTACCTGGAATAGCTTAATAACTAACAATCAGTATCACCACATAAGAACTAACAGCAGGTAGAGACATTTTGGTCAAGAAGACAGAACTTCTTTACTTATATGTTACAGGTGCAATCCCAACAATTGAGCTTGTTTGCACCCTAATTATAGTGATACCCTGTAAGCCACCACCAAGAGGATGTACCACTATCTCCTTGTAACTGTGCTACCATTCCAATCAAATTCTGTTGTATTTACAGCATCATTGAACTATATAAACTCTGCCTAAATTGCTAATTATTGATGAGTGCTTTTTGGACTTTGGTGTAGTACAATTCTAAAGCTACTTTTTCTTTTAAAAACAGTTTATAAGATGTATATGAAACTGGGCTATTGGTTTCTTTTCCTCTATTTTCGTTCTTTAAATGGCAAGTGACTTGGGCCTGACAGGTGCGGTTTCTCATTTTAGTGCACAAAATTCATGTAAAATTATCCTAGAAACATTTATTTATTATCAGATGATATATCAAATGAAAGAAAACATTAAATAAATTAATACATAATCAATTACTCTGTGCCAGATTACTTCAGTGGAAGTAAGGAGGACATTTCCAATCACACTCATCTGAATCTTTTTTCCACATTTCAAATTAATGCAAGGCTGATGTAAATCAGTATTTATCAGTGAATTAGTTCTTCCTTCCTCCCTTCTTGCAACATGTTTAATTTCAAATCTCTAAAGACACAATTTACATATTTACTGAAGTATAAGGGCTGAAGTTGACATTACAGCTTGCTTACACATGGAAAAATGCCTAATCAAATGAGATCTGTAAGAGACAGAAGAGGAAAATAAAAATGCATGTGTAGCATTTTACACTTTGAGGTGCTTATAAAACTACAATACCTAAAAGCAGTGCCTGACATTTTCTTATTCCATGTGGAGTCAAAGCCAGTATAAATCAAGGTCCACAAAGTGGAAAATGTAAAGTTAGCAAATTAATGTAAGATCTTTATAGATACACAATAGGTTTTTAGTTACTGCAAAACTGGTAAATTAATACATCCTCTTCATGGTAAATCCTCTTGATTATAACCACTTTGCTTTCTGAAGTGTACAAACACGTGTTTGCATGCAGTATATTAATCTCTCTGGTTTACTCTGTATGAAAACACTATCAGTTGCTGTACATCTGTGGGAATAACTTTCAAGTACTTGTTATGAAGCATGAAATAGGAAGTCACAGGTTAAAATCACTTTTCAAAACAGGCATGGTACTGTATATTAGATATATTTTTAAAAAGTCTTTCAAATAGCATATAAGACAAAGAACTACTCACCATTTCGTATGCTGTTACAATCTTTTTCAAGACCTCTGGAACAATCCCTTGGAGCTCCATGGTCGGATACTGATCACTGAGATTCAGTACTACCAAGGGTGTATTATCAGGCCCAACCAAGTGCATAGACACTGCCAAAATGCACTGCATAAGATTTGCTACAGGGGAGAGGCCACATAATTCTTTGAATGAAACTACTGCATTCTGCAAAAAGGAAAGAAAGAGTTTCCTTTACAGTTAAATATGAAATCTAAAGTCTCATTCTCTCAGGATAAAATACTTTACTGTTATAGTTGAGCTATAATGTGGAATTACCACAGTTTTTCCCTGAAGAACTGTCAATTTTCCAAAGCAACCAATATTGCACATATATTTTTAAAAAATGTTAAAAATTCAAACAATTCAATACATGCCATAGGAAAAAACCATCTATTTAGAACAAGTATATTGGCTCCCTATCACTGTTAAAATTAACCATGCAAATAAAGTTTCTAAAACATACTGGTTAGATATTTTGAAAAATTCTATGACATTTCAAAAACATTTTTAAAATGCCACCAAGAGAAACAAAATATTAGATGGCGAATGTCCCAGTTAAGCAAAGTGAAGTGGAAGGAATTCAGCACATTTGTAACTGTAAACATACCTGAACTACAGTCCAGACGTGCTGTGGATCTGTTGGCTCCCATTTGGTGTGATTCACAAACCCAGCACTCCACTATCGATGTATTCCTATCATAGAATCACACTTAAGTGAATTTTTAAGGTACTTTAATACAAATACCAATTTTGTACCCTTCCCTAAAATTTATGAGTTATATTTTATATCCAGTATGGCAGAGTGTAAAACCATATGTTTAAACTTGGAGAAAATTTACAGTATTAGAAATACAATGTGACTCCAAGTAGCCACTGAAATTCCACGGTGTGAATATTGTCAGCACTATATTGAATTTAGGATTTTTTTACCAATTGGGAGCTGGTGATCTATGGCAGGTCTGGAGTTTGTGTTCCTGTAGGAAACAAAAACAAAAATATGGTATATTTAAGTTACAAATGTGCTCAGTGTTCCTTTCTTTCATGTCATACCCAAGCAGGGTATCTGACAGAGATTTTAATTTTAATCAAAAGCACTTTTCATCTTGCTGGCATGGTAATACTCATTTGTGGACATGTCTCCTAGAAAGACATAACGCCAACCTTAATGCAAACAGGAACCAAATGTGAAATATTTTGCTGTCTCTTTATGAGAAAAATACCGAAGCACACTTCAAAATATGCATATATAACATATTCGTGCAAAATTATGTGAACACTAAATTGCATCTAGTACAGTCACAGTGTACTTCAAGTAAATGTTTAACAGCATCTAGTAAATGCTCAGGAAACAGAAACTACTTTTATCAACTGGACTACACCTTAATGACACAATAATTACACAGTTGAAAAGACAGACATTGGGAAGTCCGTTCAAACGTATTTTGTTTGGGGTAAGTATTATGCGTAAGCCATTATGAAAAACAGTTTTACAGAGAGGTAAATGAGGACCAGGGAATGTATATATTCACTAAGGGCAGGCAGGACAGGACTACCATATTTTACTACTACAACTCTTGCCTTTGGACTTCTCTATATGCAGAGACCATTTCTCATACTGTTAAGTAATTTAAACAAGCAACATCACATTCTGTTTAATCGCTCATGTTATACTTTTATCAGTGATTAATATGTAACAACAAGTTATGACATCAGCTTTTGTCACAGAAACGTAGGAACAAAAGGAACAGAAAAGGCTACTTTTATTCAGATTTAGAGAATCTATTAAGCTCACTGTTGCACACTTTCCTTTTGTCTCTTCTTTCATCTTACACTAAAAAAAACCAAACCAACCAACTTTGCCCTTTCATAATCCAGCTTGTGGCAACATTATTTGTGCTTCATAAAAATCATAACAATTTAAAACGCAAAATTTCACTAATATAGAAATTAACCGAATCTAACATTCCCTGTTATAAGCTGATATTTATTTTAATTGAGTGGTTTATTTACTTTTGTTAGCTGTAAAACCTTAGTTACGCAGGTTACAACCTTAAATTGCGCACATTATATAATCTCTTAAAGTCTCAAATATCTTCTTGATAGCATTTTGAGAGATGATATTGATAAACTTAGTTGATAGCACATCTTTCAAACTGACAGAATAAAATACATAGAATACCTTTTAATATCTCATGTTCAAAGAAACCACACTGTAGAGTCTGTTTTCAATTACATCATTATACTGTGCATATTGCAGCGCGCACAATAAAGAGTTTAAAGTAGCTACACAAAATTGCGTGTTTTCACTGCTTTCTCAACTCAGCTCTTCCTTGAAAACTGTCCTAAAATACAGTAAGTATCCTTTACATGACAGAATTCTAGCCTTCAATAGGTTAACTACAGGTAAAGTTCACCTTATATGCAGCCTGTAACATGAAACAAGTAAAAATATCATCCCTGTATTTTTTTAATTATCTTCTAGTATCGCAATTTTATATACCAAGTGGAATGGGAGAGCTTCATAATGATGTACTAATTGCTTCTTTCATATGAAGAAAAATTAGTTTTAAAATTGTATTACTATTAAAATCTGTTTAATGTAAGATTATTCAAGAAGAAAATTTATCTGATATGCCTTTAAAATCCAGAACTAAGACTCAGACATTTTCTTTAATCAGTTTCCCCTTAACACTGCCTAAAAGCAAGAAGATTTAACAGGTCACTTCATTTGAAGTGACAGGTCACTATGCTTAATTTTACTGATCACTGCGAGTATTTCATCAGAAATACTCAGAATATCATATAGATAGTTAAAAGCTTTATTAAATGGAACACAACTTTACAACTCAACTTTAATTTATTTCTTAAAGGGGTTATTTACCTGGAATCTTTACTGGAATCTCCAAATAATGGATCTTTTGAAGTGAGATCTCTTGGCTTCCACAAAACCAAGCACCTCAGCCTGTACTTTTTCCTGAAATTCAATGTGTTTACTACACATGACCTTTAAGGTAAGACAATTTCTTCTAGAAGATGCCTTCTAATACCTTAGTGCTAAATCCATGTATTTCTAACATGTTACTAGGAAGAATCATAGAAAGCAAACGGGTCTTTCTGAAAGCACTGCCTTCTATTTACGAATAAAGAAAAAACATCAGTGAAACTATGCTAAATACACTTGGACATACAAGAAGGTCTCTAACAAACACTAAAGTCTCCTTTTTCTGTCTGCTGTATTTTCCTCACTCATTTATACTTAATTTTTAAAAACTCAAATACTGATATACATTTTTCTAGTGTATTTCTAATATTCCTTCAAGGACATAGGACGAGTCAACATCATTGAGCTGAGTTATAACACTTGAGTCATATTTCCAGTTCACATTCAACAAAATACACATGTGCATTCAAGGTCTCATCAGTAGACAGTTTACCTAAAAGGCTGCTCTGACATAATCCATTTTTAAAGCTGTTCAGAATCAGACTCAAATAGCATAACTTACAAAATTCTTAAAAGCATATATTCTATATGCATCATAATACAAAGACACACATAATAACCAGTGAATTCATTATAAAACTGTACCTGCATATTTTCTCTCAAATCCGTAGCTTCCCGAATAGGTTGGAGAGCATTCTTGAACACTTCATCTATTGTTTTAATCCATAATGTTCTCATAGAAGCATATTCCCTTGATTTCTTGCCCTTCCTCACAGAGAGGCCCCGCTTATGAGGTTTCCCACCACCCCTTCTATTAGTAATGGCCACGTGCACAAACAAGGAAGCATGTGCTAAAATTTCACCAGTTAAAGACTGCAGAGGAACGTGCCGATAACCAGTCTGTAGACACTCAAAGGGAATAGTGTATTGCCCAATAAACTCGTCCCCAATGTAATCATCATCCAGTACTACAAAACGCACCATAGCTAGTTCTGGCAAATTTATTTGAAATTCAAAGCTTTCATCAAAAATTGGATTATCCCCGTTCTGATGCATAGTTTTCGTCCTTTGCTCTGCACAGTCAGCAGGGATTCCATGTATTTCAACATAGACATAAGGATCCACAACATCACCTTTGGCACCTGATCCTTTGGGTTTAGGGAAGTTTTGCCCACTTATGATTTTAATATGAAGCAGCTGAGGTGAAACTCCAGGCACGGTGTCTTTTGTATTTGCGCTAAAGAAGGATACTTCTTCTCTCATGATAGCAGGACGAAGGACATAGCCACAGTTTCCATTTTGTCGAAACCAACCAATGTTAAGGTCCATCATTAAGCCAGGTGTTTGAAAGTTCATTGCTACTATCTGACAACCACATTTCCAAAAGTCCTGGGGATTCATATTACTAGAGTCAATCCTCATAGGACTGGGGAAAACCCTCGCAAGAAAACGCTTGTTATAATTTACAAAGTCTCCTGGGTTTTCATTGGCATATTTGCTAGCAAGCACTTCATTAAAAGAGCACACTTCCCAGTACTTCTGGAGCTGAAATGAAACTTGAAACTCTTTGAACTGAACCGATTTACATATGCTTACCAACTCAGAGAGATCTTTGCAGAGCTGAAATCGTTTCCCAGTCATTGAGTTTTGCTGTTCTACCCCCTCTTTCGCCACTCTCTGTGACATTTCTGCTCCTTCATCTTCATCTGTAACATCTCCCTCTAGTCCAGAACAACTAGCAGAAAGCTTCTTTGCTTTGATCAGAATTTTCCCTTTAAGTGATTCCGGCGATGGAAGATAAGACTCTTCAATGTTTGGAGACTGCGTATGCAGTTTGTCCCCCAAAATTTTCTTCATGTGTTGTACCATCACTTTCTGCTGCTTAATAGAACAATGATTTTCTAAACACAAAATAAGAGGGTATTCCGAAGCAAAAAATGCATACTTGTTAATAATGTCAATCACACTACGGAAGACAATCTGTGATGTCATTGTATGCCCTGTGTAAATCACTGGCTCATTATCCGGACCATCCCATACATCCAGTTCAACGCTTCGACAACCCATTTTTAGAGCACGAATGTAACCCGTGATGTCAGAAGGCCCTCGAAACTGATCCTCGATCAAGTATGTATTATGAGATGAATTTATAAAATAATGAGACAAGGGTTGTTTCATATCTTGACAAACTTTTTTATGCTCTGGATCAAATATGTGGCAGTCTGGTGAAGTAAGGTAATTCGTAAACCCATCTATAGAAAGACAACCCTTTTCCTGGCCCTCTTTGGCTGGCTCGTATTTCTGAATAATTTCAAGGCTTATTTCTTCTGTGACCTGTGCCATACCCTGTTCTGCTTCTAAGAACATCATGAGATCCTTGGTATCTAGAAATTCTTTATTGCTTGAAAACTGAACTAACAGAAAATAGATTTCAGGTCTGGTACAAAGCTCATGAAAAACTTCAATAAACTCTTCTTTTGTTACTTCAGTACCAGTTTTTTCCCTGGATCTATGTAACTCCTTGAATTTTAGTTCAATTTTGTTAGTTTTTAAACCAGGATTTAAGTCTTTTATAAACTGTACAGCATTACATAGGGGTATATGTCCCAAATTATCTACATCTGATTCACTGAACATTTGTGAAAGCCATGAAGTCCGCATATTATCTTGAGTACTTCCTATCATATCTAGAGTATGTTTTCCATAGGAAATCAGGTACCTTAAGCCAGTAACCCAAATATTTGCAACATCCGCTGAGTTAGCAACAAGATCTAGTGACTCATAGTTTTCTCCATATATAATTGAAAATGCACAGTCTTCTGATATCTGGTCATATATTCCATTGCTGCGAAAAATATCTGTATTTTTTCCTGTTCTTACTTCTTTGATTGATTTAATATCAATCTTTGCTTTTTCAGAATCCTTTTTTGAAGGTTCCCAGCGCAGAGACTGCATATCCGCATCCAAAAGAAAGTACCGGTGATACACCCTGGAGTTGGATCGAATCTTTCTGAGCTCAGAGCCTTCAACCATCGCATTAATACAGTCGCTTGCACTGCTGATCTTCTTCTCCGTCGGCATGCTGCTAAAGGACACGGTCTTCTTCCGTTCTCGCTTTTGTTTCGTACCATCCTAGTAAACATGCAAGGGGAAGGGAAACAAAACATATATCAGTATGATTTTGCTCAACACTGAAATAGGTTTCAACTTAAAGCAGAAAGCTCATAAAGTAGTTCAATAAGGTCTGTGCAATGACCAGTAAGATAGAAATGCTTACTAGAATCATCACAATCAAAATACTAGTAACGGCTTAATATTTGTTCTTACTTAAATAAATAATCTTCCAGAGTCTTTTTTTAAAATATTTTTATGAGCACAAAATTTAAAAAAACAAGTTTTGAATGCTAATGAAATAATAATGTTGTATTACTGCCTGTATGTACATGCATTTTATTTTATGAGTAACATCCTACTTACAGAGGTAACAGGTTCTACAGCTAAGGCAGTAGGAAGTTAAGCTTTCCTCCAAGTCCTTATAGATACTTGCTGAACTTGTCAGTACAGAATATAATATTTTAATACTATTTAATGCTGACAGGGTGCATTAAAACACAATTAACTGCATAAAATCCATAGGACAGGGTCCTAATCTAAGCATACGAGACATTAACAGCACTTATTATGCACAGCTCCCTTCACTGCTGCACTGTGTGCTCTTCCCACAGACTGTCCACAGCACTCACACATGCATCTCACTCCTATACTAGGAAACTATCCATCATAGCCTAAAGAAGCTGCACTGAGACACAGGGAGCAGATGTAATTCACTGTAAATTCAGAGTTTCAGAAAATATGACAGCGACTCAAGAGGGAACTTCTGAGAGGATTAAACTGTTTCCAAAGAACCAGCATATCATTAGAAATAAATGGAATGGAAGATCTGGTCAGGAAGGGAAGCAAAAGTGATTTACCTTTGCTCTTAAAAAGATGAGATAACCCAGAGGTCTTACTTTACTAGAGAAAGTTTGGGTATATAAGGATATATAAGTCTTAAAAAAAAAAAAAAAGTCATTTAGCTACCTCTATTTGTTGTTTGTATCAATTCAAACAAGTGCAAATAAATCAGTAACACATGACGAGTACAATCAATTCCATAAGAACTGAATTTAAGAAACCTGTGTGATTTCATTATTTGCATTTTCTGAGACTGAAAAATGGTGTGGTTTTTTTTTTTTTTTTGTCTTGATGAGCCAACTTTTAGTCTGAATTAATACTTCCATTAAATAATCTTTACATTAGATACCCTAATTAGAGCACAGCTCAAAAAATTACTTTTCCAACTTTATTAAAAAAACAATGTTGATATTCCCTCAAACAGTTTTCCATTTGAAGTATGTTCCAGTGCAAATCAGCATTGCTTATATGGCAGAAAGGAAAGTGAAAGAAAACCTTTAATGATTGCTACGCTGAACAGATGTTCAAATAAAACCCATCCATTACAAAATGCATTTACAGTTCAGGGCATATGTGCTGTATGTTTAATTTCATTAAATTAAAAATGCAGAATCCTGATTTTGTCATTTAATTTATAAGCATCCAAAAAGCCATGCATTGAAAACAATGATTAGTAAAGTGAGCAGACAATATTTGCTGTTCCGTGTTTGAGAAACTTAATCAACCATACAATTCTTGCACCTTTAATGACAGCAGAATTTGCTTTATGCAAGTTCTCAAGAGACCAGTATAAGCGAATAACCCTGCAGATGACTGTTTTATTTCTAACTGCAGTTCAAACACCTGCAATGGATACTGCACAGGGTTGACTCTCAGAATCTCATTACATGTAATTTGGGTTGTTTTCAAACAAAATTTAATTTCCTTTTAAAAAAAAAATCAAATGTGCTTTTTGTTGACAGAGGTTTTTGTTTCATTTTAAGCCTAGCCTCTTGTCTGGCTACCTATCTACATCTCTTAACCTGAAAAAGTGGCAAGGGACAGTCCCACAGAAACGAGCAGTGATGTTCCCTTCTGGTATTTCAGGGCTTGGAATGAAGCATTTTTAAACTCCTTAATGCTCCAGATTTCTCAGTCACAGACCTAGGAGGGAAATACATTTCTCAAACTGTTTGGTGAGAGATAGCTGACAGATAACCTTGTAACACCAAAACCATCAAGGCCTGGGAAGTATCACCTTGCCTGGCCATGATCAGAAGGATCATGCCTTTCTGTGTGATCAGGACTGTATCTGATCCAAGGCACTGAATTGCAAAGGAAAAATAAAATCTTCCATTTCTTGATGCCATCTGATGTAAAGAGGTCCATCCCAAGGCAACCTCATTCTCAGCGCTAGTTACCAAAACACTGAATAGGAGTTTATGCATGTGGACCAGAGGAGTAATTCAATCCACCACCTGCAAGATTATTTGGCTTGCCTGCCAGATGAATTTGAAGCCAGTTCACGGTATTCTGCATTGCTGCAGGGTAAAGCAGTCTAGTCACTCAGTTTATTTATATAAAGCCTGCACCACAGTGTAAATGACCATGAAGACATTCTGAGCTCCAGAACACGCTTCATAAGTTTTTGCTTGTCCAGAGATCAATGACCCAGAGCTACCGGATTGCCTGTGCAAGTCCCCATCCTGACAGAGGCATGGCAGTCATGATCAATCTGTATAAACAGAACTTAAAGGATATTTTACCAAAAACACTCGTGAGAATTATTTGCCTGTTTGAATTACCCACCTGTTTGAAAGGAAACAGGGAAGAAACTCTCACTCATAAGCTGAGAATGCAATTGCATAGAGTGCACACAAACTGTGTGAAACAAGTTGGTGAGCCTCAGCGATACAGTCTGGCACGGAGAAGGAGACAGATATATTCTGTTATGTGATGTGGAAGATTTCACCCTGAAAGTGGGGTGGCATCCATGAACTGGGTCAGGTCTCTCATGGCCTTAGGTGTGCCTTAAATCAAAAAGATTGGCCCATCAGAAAACTGTTATATATCTGAACAAACACAGGAGTGATTTTTCGGCATTCGTGAGACTTAAAGTGTTCTTGCTGTTCAAGATGCTCGAAGTGACAGTGACTCTACGGTGCAGATGCACAATTCTGTCCAAGGAAGCAGCTACAGTTTCTGTGCTGAAACAACTTTCAGTCATTCTAGGATCTCTCATATAATGAAGACCATGTCAATCTTCAAATTATAACATGTACTGTCATTGTAACAGGACTTCCCCTAAAGACTGTCTGTGCTTCAGAAGACTCTAATCACTGAAACCAGAATGACCACCTCATCAATACATTTCCTAACACTGGGTGCCACAACCAAGGTCACCTGCAACAATTTTAGAGGAACAGACTAGAACACACATAAAACCATTTTGAAACATTGCTCATAACCACTACAAGCAACCACACAAAGAGTTTAGTTTATCCAGGAGTTCCTAGCAACAGAAAGAAAAGCATCTAGCAGTTTAAAAAAACCAGAAATAATCCCAGCTGTCATTTGTGGCACTTAAGAGACAGAGACAGCTGGAGAAAACAGATTAAAAGCACAAATAGGGAAGAGTATCTCCATGATAACTTTATTCCCCTCAAGGTACCAACAAACAAATAGTTGTGTGACTAAGCACTACGTACAAAACAGAATTCTGGAAACAACAGAGAATCTTGAATCAGACACTGGGAGAGATGCACATCGTCCCTGAACTGCAAAGTTTTTAATTTATGCAATTCTATGATAAAATTACTTAAAAAGCAATTTGAATAACCACTGGTACTGACAGGGACAGCAGTGGAGTTCAAACAGCGATTTGATAACTTAATAGACCAGGACAACAGAGGAAAACAATGACTAGTATAAGGTTAGTAAACATCTGCTAAAGGAAAGGAAGCAGAGAGTGAACTTTATGACCTGTAAATGTCCAAATAAATCATGCCCCAGAAGCAGTACTGCAAGAAAAACATTCAAACATGGAGTTACCAAGATGTTTAGGTACCTCTTGGTCCAGTGGAATTTAGAACATTTACAGTCGGAGGCAGAGGCTTGTCAACTAAGTGTGGGGCTGCAACCTGAGCACAGTGCAGGCCAGTCCTTCCACCTGTCAATACAAGATGATCCTCCCACTCACTAACGGAAAGTTTGAAGGTGGATGCCTGCAATCCTGCCTCTCTCTCCATGATTAAAGCAGCCACCTGCAGCTTTGATGCAGTGGTTTTGCTAATTAGGACTGGAAGATCAATGCCTCTACCTGCATTTAGCCCAATAAAGTATTCTTTGAGACAGAGGACTTTAAAAAGAATAGACAATGGTAACAAGAGGAAGTATCACAGTGACAGATTTTTAGAGCACTTGTCTGGCATCAGAGAAGTGAAAGTCCCTGATGTCACTGCTCCATAAACATTTCACTTGGTGACCCTGAATGCAAAATACACTGACAGTCCATGTAGCAGGGACCTGAACACTGAATTTTACCTTCTCAGAGGAATATCCACTTCCCCAAGTGACAGGTCCTGCTGCTACTTGCTTATGCTCTAACCGTAAAAAACTTCCACTTGCTTTTATATACCAGAGGTTAATCGAAATGTGGAAGGTAGCTCCATCCTAGTCTTGAGAGCATGTGGCTGAGCATTTGAAGAACCCCAGGCAGAGGGACTAGAGCCCAGCCACTCCATGAGCAGGTAAGTGCTCTGCCAACCAAGCAACTCCAAGGAACGGAGCACAAAACACCCCCCAGCCCCTCACAACTGCAGCACCTCACTGCAAGCTTTTTGACTGTCAATGTCTGAGCTTTGACAACTTGTGAGAAAACTCACACACTCTGAGATAATGACAGCACACAGTCTGCAGAAGCCACAGACCCAAGAATACCTACTTAATTCATCCCCAAAAGGCTCAGAAACAAGATAAATGTGAGACATTCATCCTAGCAGAGATGGCAATGCCCATACATATGTGTGGTAACAAGACTGCAAGCATGTACAGTGTCTCAAGAGCTTATAAATAAATCAGTTTTTTTTTGCATGTAAGTTCTGAATTAAGTGACATGTTTGTGAACCTGAGGGCCAGTGTTGTGCCAATACTCTGAGCAATTACTGGTAAGTGAGAACACAGGCCATGCCTAAGTTTGG